CCCCCCAAATAAACTAAGCCAAATGGACCCCGTCTTAAACCTAAAGTCAACCACGCCTAAAGGCCCAGGGGCAAGTCTAGAAACACAGACTGGGACTCACCCCACCCCTGAACAAACCGACTCCCTAGTAGATCCCAATCATGACCCCTACCCCTTTACGTCTCCCCTACCAACACCATATGTGCAAAATCACTCCATGAAAGCTCAAGAGTTAAAATTGAGAAACCCAAAAAATACAATTGATTTGACACAACACATCAACTCAACCGGATTTCACAATAATCCCACAATTTGTGTATTAGACACATATTTCAAAACACCTAATATGGGTGTCGATCGACTTCCACCCCCTCCCAAAATGGTTGATTACCCTAATAACCCACCCTCTAATACCAACCCTAAAAAAGTTAGACAAAAAAACCAAAAATGAAACCCAACACCAACCCCTAAGTCTTTCTAACTTCCGTTCCACCACCACCGGACCACATACCGGCGTCGTGGTTGGAATTAGCCTTCCATGGCCAAGCCCTATGCTACAATTTTCAACTAGGTAATCAACCCATATCACTCATCATCCAGAACCCGGCTCACTTGGCCAGAGTAACTGCGGAGGCCCTAAAAAGGGATTTGGGGATATTTGGTGCTCAGCTATGGCAGGCGATGGTGATGCAAAGCAACCTAAACCACATACAACAAACCAACGACTCACCCTCAATCCACAACATGATGCAGCAGATATTCAACACCATGACCTTCTTCCCGGACCTTGCAGTGGCGGACCCTTGTGCAACCCCCCAGTTCAAACTCCTTCCCCAGGGACCACTACAAGAAACTTCGTCTTCAACACAGGAGAAACAACACTATCCACCTCTGGAGAATATCCCGAAAGGGATATCAAAGGCCTTGGAAATACTGAAGAACAACGAAGCCCCAATGGTGAAGGAAACGACACCAATCGACAACAAAGTAAGAGTAGACTCTCTTTGGATGGAAGCAGTTCGGGCTGTGGAATTCAGTGTGGACCACAGCGAGACATTGATACTCATATGCCCCAAGAGCCTAGTCAGATGCGGAATGGACCTCTCCTCTCATCAAAGTCAAGGTATCCTCAAACCATTCCGTACACTAACCCCAGTGATGAGATCTCAACAATCTCAACACAGGGGAAGAGAAGTGATGCAAGCCAAGGCAGGGACAAAGCATCAATGAGCAACAGTCGTCCAAACATGAACCCTCTAATGAATTTCATAATATGGAATGTTAGAGGGGCAAACAATACTGAATTCAGGAAGCATTGCCCAGAGATGGTTAAAATGCATAAACCCGCGATGTTGGTACTCCTAGAGACTAAGCCGGTTGACCATAAAAAGCTCACAGAGGAACTGCAATATGACATGCATATCCGGTTTCCTGCAGTAGGCCACTCATGAGGTATAGTGATTATGTGGAAGAAATCCTCCCTCCAAGTAGATGAAGTAATTGTATCATCTCAGGGCATTCATGCAATGGTTAAGGTACTCCCCTCTACCCCCTAGTTAATTTCTGCAATTTATGCTAGCAATTACATAGAGAATAGGAAAACTCTCCGAAATAACTTAGATATCTCAAAAAACTTCAAGGGGAGTTGGTTTGTGGGTGGAAACTTCAATGAAGTCTTGAAAGCTAGGGTCAAATTCGGGGGAAACCCCATCAACACCCAAAGAAGTAATTTATTTTGAAATTGCATTAATAGTTGCCAGCTTGTAGACCTAGGATTTAAAGGTAGCAAATAAACTTGGTCAAATAAGCGTTATAAGAATAGGTCTTGCCTCATCCCTGAAAGAATTGATAGGTGCTTTGCTAATAACCTCTGGGTAAATGAATACCCGAGGCAAACGTTACGCATCTCCCTAGGACCCACTCTGACCACTACCCCGTGCTAGTAAAGCTAAACAATAGCAATCACATTCTCTCCAATAAGCCCTTTAGGTTTGAATCAATGTGGTGCAGTCACCCACTGTTTCAAAACCTAATTAGGGACTCTTTCCCACCACAATCATCCCTAATCCCCTCCACCACGGCGTTCAAGGAAAATGCTTTAAAATGGAACAGAAATATTTTTGGTAATATCTTTCACGAAAAGAAGAGGCTGCTTGCCCGGATAACAGGGATTCAAAAATCCCCACACTATCCTTCTAGCCTCTTTCTCCATAATTTTGAAAACACTCTTATTGAGGAGCCTGACTCAGTCCTAAGGAATGAAGAATACTTCTGAAAACTTAAATCTAGGATAAGCTGGCTCTCAGATGGAGATGCCAACACCAAATTCTTCCATACTTCTACCCTTAATAGAAGGAGGAGGAACAGAATCCTATCCATCAAGGATAATTCAGGGCAATGTCAGTATGAGCCCAAGGAAATTAAAGATTCAATTTCTAAATTTTTCCATAAGCTCTACTCTATATCCCATTCTCAATCCCACAGGTGCACATCCACTCATGGTATCCAGGGGCAATGCCTCTCTGACATCAAAAAAGGCATCATTGAAATTCCCCTAATGGAAAGTGAAATAAAATGTGCCACGTTCTCTTTCAAACCCTTCAAAGCCCCAGGTCCTGATGGCCTCCACCCATTTTCTACCAAAAATACTGGGGCATAGTGGGGAAGGATGTCATCCAATTCTGCAAAAAATGCTTCTCCACTTCAACAATGCACCCCTTCATGAATGAAACACTTTTTTGCCTAAACCCCAAATGCCCTCAAACGTCCATGATCAAGAACTACAGGCCCATAGGTTTATGCAATATTGTGTACAAAATAGTAACCAAAACCCTTGTTAACATAATCAAGCCTTACCTGTCCCACATTATTGGCCCTAGCCAGGCCAACTTCCTTTCTAACAGGAGAGCCTCTGACAATGTCATCATAGTACAAGAATACATCACACATTTTGGAAAGATAAAAGGCAAATCTCCTAACATGATACTCGAGATTGAATTGGAAAAGGATTTTGACGGACTGGAATGGTCCTTCATTAAAGAGACCCTCCATGGCTTCAATTTCCCAAATACAATCACCAATCTCATTATGCCATGTGTTAGCTCTTCCACCATCTCTGTCCTTGTTAATGGAGAGCAAACAAGCCCCTTCATGCCCACCGGAGGTAAGCTTGTGTATGGAAAGACTCTCCAGGGACATTGACAGGAATGTCCATCAAGGAGAGTGGTCCCTCGTTAGCATTAGCAGAAATGGTCCTAAGATATCTCATCTCTTCTTTGCTGATGATCTAACTCTGTTTGCCACAACTAATCAGGCTAACTGCAACACAATTCTTACTACTCTCAATTCTTTCAATTGAGCTTCAGGGCAGAAGATCAATTTTAATAAGTCCAAAGTTTGTCTCAGTGCTAATTGCCAACCACACCAAATGGAATCCATCACCGGCACTCTTGCCATACAAGCATCAATCAGCTTTGGCAAATATCTTGGCTTCCCACTTTTCCACAAAAGGTGCACTCATAATGACTTTCAATTCATCATAGATAATCTACATACAAAAATGGCAGGGTGGAAAATAAATATTCTCAATATGACTAGTAGGACCACCTTAGCTAAAGCCTCACTCAACACTATCCCCAATCATGTAGTGCAATACATCATACTCCCTGCTAAAACAACCAAAGAGATTGACAAAATCCAAAGAAATTTCATTTGGGGTATCACATCTGTCAAAAGAAAGATGCACCTTGTCTCCTAGGACACAGTCACAAAAACTAAGGCGCAAGGTGGACTAGGAATCCAAAAAGCTGAATTGAAAAACAAGCCATCCACTCAGGGCTGGCATGGAGGCTTTATCAGAATCCATCATCTCTCTGGGCAAAAACCCTCATTGCAAAATACTGTAATTGGAGGAACCCCCCCCCCCCTAAAAAAAATCTAAGTCAAGTACCTGACAATGTTTCCTAAGAGGGTGGGAAACATGTATGAAAGCAAAAAGATGGGTTGTTCATTCAGGGAATAGAGTCAGCTTCTTCAATGACCCTTGGCTCCCTAATCTCCATGCAATCAAGTCCATAATTGAAGGACCACTTACCAGAGAAGACATGGCAAAAACTGTGGCATCAATTCACAATCATGGAAATTGGGACTTTTCCACAATCTCCCTACACCCCCCTCCCCCCCCCCCCAAAAAAAAACATCATAAGCTCCATCCAAAATACTTTCATTCCAACCAATCCCATCAAGGAAGACAAGATGATCTGGGAAATCACCACTAATGGAACCTATACCACCAAATCAGCATATTCCCTTCTGGAAAATCTTCAATAACAACAAACTGAAAACATGAGTAACAACTACTCATGGATCTAGAAATTAAAAGTTCCAAAAAAGATTCAATCCTTCTTTTGGTTACTCTTCCATGACAGGCTCCCCACTGGAGACTTCCTCCACCATATTAGGATCCACTTGGACCCCACGTGCAGCTTTTGCAATCAGTGACTTGAAGCATCTGCACACATATTCTTTGACTGCCCAAACTCAAAGCTATTATGGGCATCATTGTCTCAGAAAACACCAATACTCTTCCAACCCAGGTCACATCCTTCACCAGTAGGGACTGGCCAAGGACATGGGCCTCACTCAAGAAATAACCCTTCAATAG